GCCGACCTTCTGATTGGCAAGTCCTAGGCTGTGTGGTTTAACCCACAGTGCCACCCACGTCCCAATATGGCTTACTAGACATTCTCAATTAATATATTAAGTAGCTGACACTTCTGCAATGATGATAGCATTAAAATATCCTGTTATTTTTCAATAAAGGGGGGGGGGAGGAGACTAAATTGTGTCTGACCTAACCAGTTGCTCCTGGCAAACCAGTAAGCTTGAAGGCATCAGCCTTCTCCTACATTTGCTGAGATAACGCCTAGTTCTTCCCTATGACTTTAACCCACGCAAACCAAATTCAGGTATTTCCTGATGTATTTTATGGGTGAATTTTAAAATAACATCTATCATAGCAGTCATCTATGTTTCATTCATATTGCATGCCGTCATAGCTGAGACAGCATTCTGAACGGCAAAGGGACTTTTACAGCTTTCTGAATTCTGAAAATCCATGTGGACCTCTCCTTGCAGAAATGAGCCAGCACTGTGGGCTATGGATAAATCAATAGATACATGGAGAAATTGGATACTTTTTATGTTAACATTCCATCTTCTTTTGCAAGCTGCTGCTGCTGCCTGTAATTTTTATTTATTATCTGTGTCAGTTTTTCTTATCCTATCTGACATTCATGGACACGAACTTGGTTGCATTACAACATAGCCAAACATGTGTCAGAACAGGCCTTCAGATAGTCTGCTAAACATTTGAGGAATGCAATCTTTTAAAATTTGTTTTTGGGAAATAGTTTGGACAATAATATTTCCACTTAAAAAAACAAAAATAAACCCTACTAAATCTGCCTATTGGCACAGCCTCTCATGCAGCCTCTCAGAAGTACCAGTAAGAAATTCCAAGCACACTTAAGTGTATGAAAAATGGATCGTTCTCCATGATCAGGCAACTAATGCATGCAGCAAACTGATCTTCAGATTGATTTCCATATAGGAAACTGCTAAGCGGTTCCTACGACAAAAGGACATTGTTCAGTTGTTATGTTATTTTGTTTTGTTCTGGTTTTCCTTGATACACCTGTAATCTTGAATATTTTTACTCAGTAAACACAATCTTAGGAGCTGCTGAGATCTATGAACATTCTGTCACAAGTGACAAGTCCCTGTACTTAGCCTGCCTTACAAAACCATAACAGGTAGCCCCAAAGATTCCAAAACAGGGTTTACTTGGACAGACATAAGCAACCCTCATGCCACTCAAGAAAGCTCCATTGGACTCAAAGATGCAATAGGTGCCACAAAGAAGGCCTTTTTAATGCCTTCACCATCATTCACCTAGATACTTCAAATGTGCAGGGCATGATGAGTCCTAAGGACCCAATAGTCCAAAAGTAACTTTTAATCTCAGACCTTCTGTCTATAGTCTTTGAGACTTATTGGAGAAAAGGTGAGATCCCTGTGGGCTGGAGGCAGGCAAATGTAGTTCCCATCTTCAAAAGGGGTGGTCGTAGAGAAAACCCATTTAACTACCAATTGGTGAGCTTGACGTTGATACCAGGAAAGTTCGTAGGACAGAGAATTAAACAGACTCAGGATTCAGGTAAGTAGCCGTGTTGGTCTGATGCAGTTGAAATAAAAATAAATAAATAAAAAATTGCCCAGTAACACCTTATAGACCAACTAGGTTTGTTCTGGTATAAGTTTTCGTGTGCATGCACCGTATTTTTCGCTCTATAGGACGCACCGGACGATAAGACACACCTAGTTTGGGGGGGGAGGAAACAAGAAGAAAAAAATTCTGAACCCCAGAAGCCAGAACAGCAAGGCTTCTGGGATAGCCTCTTGCTGTTCTGGCTTCGGGGACAGCCTTTGAAACCTCCACAGGGCCTTCACCCCGCTGCCCTGCGGAGGCTTTGCGCAACTAACCCCAAGCTAGAACAGTGAGACGGAGTGTTGCACAGCACTCCGTCTCCCTGTTCTGGCTTTGCGCAGCTAACCTCAAGCTAGAACAGCGAGACAGAGCGCTGTGCAGCGCTCCGTCTCCCTGTTCTGGCTTTGGGCTTAGCCGTGCAGCCTGCATTCGCTCCATAAGACGCACACACATTTTCCCTTACTTTTTAGAAGGGAAAATGTGCGTCCTATAGAGCGAAAAATATGGTAGTGGTCTATAAGGTGCTACTGGACAATTTTGTTATTATTATTTAAACAGACTGTGAGCACATAGAAAAGGATGCTTTGATTAACAAAATCCAGCATGGCATTCTCAAAAACAAGCCAGACAAATCTCATTTCTCTTTGTGATAGAGTTACAAGCTTGGTGGATCAGGGGAATGCTGTGGATGTAGTGTATCTTGATTTCAATAAGGCTTATGACCAAATCCCCCATGATATTCTTGCAGAGAAGCTGGTAAAATGTGGGCTGAGTGAGGTAACTGTGAGGTGGATTTGTAGCTGGTTGAGTGACTGAACCCAAAGAGTACTCGTTAATGGTTACTCATCATCCTGGAAAAAAGTAACAGCTGGGGTGCTGTAAGACGTGCACCATTGTAAGACTGTAAGACTTGCCCCACTTCTGTTCCTGCTGTTTCTTGCCCTGTTTCATTGCTCGGAGCTCCCCAGTCAACCTGGGGGCTGCACAAGCTTCACAGGGCTGGCGCAATTGTGTTGGTGACCCATCATTCCATAGCAAAACTACAGCTACAACAGAAATGCATTCACTGGTTACTGGAAAATTCCCCAGATCATTCAGAAATCCATTGGATTTCCTAAGTCCTTCTTTTGTTTGTTTGTTTGTTTGTTTGTTTGTTTGTTTGGATGACATAAATACAGGGTAATTTTAAACCCATCATCACCATCTTCCTCCAACCTTGAAGCAAAGGTTAGAGTGTGTGCCCTGGCCTATATATTGGAATGGTGACAAACTGAGACAGCCTCATTATTATCATGTAAACCATGGTGTCCTATGCTGGCTCTCGGAGGGCAATCTCAGAGACTAGCAGAACCAAGGCCCTTGGGTGGTCAAAAACCACCTTGGATCTGAAGAAATTCAACATTTCCCCTGAGATTATTGTATTTAGGACAATCTATCCCTTTGGGAGTACTTTTTGGCTTGGAGGGAAAATCATGTGAAACCTCCTCTCCTAAAACCTGGGAAATGCTCATTTCAGAACTATGAAATTGCTACAGTTTTATCTTAATGTACACAGAGACCAAAACAACAACAACTCTTCACTATGCAATTAGAACTTGAACTGAACCAATTACGTGTTGTAATGGCATACAACAATTATGCATAATGACAGAATTATAATTTGTGATAATATCACAAAAGCTCTTATGCAACTTTCTGAGTGAACGTTGACCATGGAATGAATATGTGTGCGTGTGCTATTTCAGTGTTTCAGCTAAAATAGGGAGTGTGGAAGAGTAAAACCTCATCTTACTATTCTGCGTTATAAAAAAAATAAATTAAAAAATGTGCAAAACAGGAAGAAACCATACCCTACAGTAATAAATGAAAATATGCACATCTCAGCATTGGAAACAACATGCATGGATTCTGATGCTCAATAATATTGGAACTAGGATCGTAATAACATTTTTCAAACTGCTAGAGGACCAATATTCTGGTCTGGTTAGTGATCCCTCTGTGATGTGCACAAGCGTCCACATATTACCCCTTTCTCAAAGATCTGTACTCGCTGCCAGTTCACTGCCTGGTTGAGTTCAAAGTGTTACTATTGCTATATGAAGCCCTTAATGGCTTTGGATCACTTTGATCTGTGCACTTGCACTTCTACAAGTGCCACACAATCTCCATTTTGTGTTTTCAAGGAGTTATTCTTTTTAGTGTTGCAGTTGTACAGATACTTTGGGACTCCCTTACTGTTAATATTAAGCAAGCACCATCACTGTACTCCTTTAGACACTTGCTGAAAACTTTTCTGCTTTGGAAGGTCTATTGAGATGCGTGACTCAGTTGCATCTATTCTTAAATTTGTTTCAGACATATTACTGTGTTTCATTGTTTTAAATGTTTTAAATCCTTTTAAAATGTATTAAATATGTCTTTATTTTATTCCTAACTGTATTTTTTAACCACAGAAGTATTTGCTGCCCTTGACTACATAGGGAAAGAGGAGAGGGTATCAATTTAATAGATAAAATAAGAGTAGGCTGAATGTATTTCTCCCTGTGTTACAGAAGAACACATATCACAATCTCGGATGCCATTTATGATACCTCCCTAAAACCATGGCATTCTCTTCTGGCAATGGTGCAACAGTGCTTGCCCCATCAATTCAAGGACATGTGGAGGGCATAACATGCGATTCTTCCCAAAACTAAATTAAGAGAGACAAAATAAAGGTTCTTCTTTTAGGGAAGAAGCAGAGAATGAGTGATACCTGCCTTGGATGTAACACATGTGAGAAGATTCCAAGGATTGTGGTAGATCATCAAATGCTGAACATGAGTCAGCAGTGTGTGGGTGGTGCAGTTTTAGGCCTCATCAATGCAACCTTTGTTCCCAGATCCCATGATGTAAGAGTTTCACTTCATTCTGCATTAGTGTGTAGTCAGAAGACTCCAGTGCTGTATCCAGTTATGGGTACCACCCTTTAAGATGAGTATAGGCAAACTGTAACAGTTTCAGAGGAGGACAATGAAGATTTTCAGCAGTATGGAAAACAAACCATATCAAAAGAAATAAAATAAAAGAAAAATGGGTAAGAGAAGAGAATACTGAGGGAGAACGTGTTATGGTAAGACCCTTCAAATATCTGAAGGGATGGCACATGGAGGAGGACAAAGACTTGCACTCTGCAGCCCCAGAGGTTAGGGATGGGAGGGAAATTTCATCCATGTTGCATTTAGAGGAGAGCCTACCTCATTCATGCTCTTTGAACCAAAACACAGGCATCCTGCAAAATTCACAGCTTTATTAATTTTTCAATGCACTTCTCCAGCCAATGAATGCGTACAAAAATGCATAGATCAGGGTTAATTCTGCATCAAAATACATAAGTGGTAAAAACTTATAAAAACGCCTAATATTTGGTGGGACTGGTTGGTAAAAATGTGAATATTGTGGAAGACTCCATGTAGACATATGTATTGTAGGAGACATTCTCACTAAGATGCTGGCGGGGAAATTGCCAACTGATGTGGAAATGTGAAGAACTGAATTTAAGACTGAGAAACAAGAAGTAGAAAGAAAACAAAATTGGCAGATTCACCCATTCCTAACCAGAGGCCAAGAAAATATAATTACAGATTTGTCCGGAACATTTGGAGAAACCTTTTGATGACAAGAGCCATCCAACAATGGTGTCAAATACTTGGTGTGGCATGGGGAGGGAGATGATGTATCTCAATGGAGGTCTTCGAGAAGCTAGCAGCCATCTATTTGAAGATATCACAGTTCTGGATTTCCTTTATACAACAGGGGGCTGGGTGTGATGGCCTATGGCACCTTAGAACAGGTTAATTCTAAGATGAATGGGAAAGTTCATCTTTATCCGAAACCTGCAGAATGCACAATGATTGGATCCGATCCCTCACACTGGAATGTGCATCACGATCTGGAAGTTCAGTTCTGCAAAGCAATTGGAGGTGAAGATGAAAGTGTAGCTATTGATTTCCTGCTGCATTTCTTTCTTTTGCTACACTAGATAGTGCTCATCGAAAGTGACTTTCCAAGAATTACTTTTATAACACTTCACTTATTTGATGAATCCTACCAAATGATTTCTTTTGAAGTTCATCACCCACTCAATATTTTCCAAAGCCAATGAAACTATTTTCGAGGATTCTTGTTTCTTGGAATATCCTGTTATAAAGCACAGTGTGAAAAATACACAATTCTAAATGGAGGGTGAATGTCTTTCATAAGCCATCTCTCGGTGTTCAGCCTGTGCACAAGACCACAGAATGTGTGAAAGGGGTTCTGTGATATGTACGCAACTCTGCCCCCAAATGTAGACATGTTAGGGGTGGGGTCCAGATGTCAGCAGACTATACTTCACCCCAATTTTTCACCCAATTTAGAGGTAGTTTTTGGGAAGGCTACTGAATCATTTCCCTGACTCATTAGATTCCCTCCCCCCCCCACAAAATGTGCTGCTATATTTTCCCTTTAAAGTTTTTTTTAAAAATTGTTTAATGTGATATTCTAGTTTTTTTAATTTCATCATTTGGTTGTGTGAGTGTATGAGTAGACGATAGATAGATAGATAGATGATTGATAGATAGATAGATAGATAGATAGATAGATAGATGATAATTTACTTTTCTGTAAATATTCACTTAGGCCACATTTACACCATACATTTAAAGTGCTTTCCCAGTCAGAGCTGTGATTTCCAGAGTGGTTTACCAATCAATCTCTCTCAAAGGCGACGCTGGAAATTGTACCTCCGTGAGAGGAATAGGGGTTTCCTAACAACGCTCAGTACCCTTAACAAACTGAAGCTCCCAGGTTCCTTTGGGGAAAGCCATAACTGTTTAAAGTGGTATCATAGTGAATGTGGCCTTAGAGACTGTTCCAGTATCAAGTAGTACATAAATATATGAAACAATAACAACACTCTTAGAAGCCTCCTTGTGACTGGAAACTTTAATAATCCAGGGTTCCTGATTTTGGGCAGGAGAGGTTGTTTCTAAGTGAATTCAACCAAATGCAGTGAGAACCAATCAAATTTTCAAGCTAAATATGCAAAGGTTAGGAGTGGAGGGTGCAGGGCTAGCATCAGTGGGAATATTGGGTAGGCAATGCCCAGTGCATGAGCCTCTGACCCCAGCACACTTTTTGCCCTTGCATGTTTAGGCTGAATTTCCAAAGAAGAGTTATAGAGATGGAATGTCAAGAGGTACTGTTCCATTTCTGATTGTGGCCTTCCTGTGTCCTAGGATCATCAGAAACAACAGATGCCAAGTCTGGGCTTTTGGAGTCCCAAATATACAGAGTGCTCTGCACTTCAGGTATTGAGCTGCAACTCACTGAGGTTTTCCCATTCACTTTTATTGAGAGGAAGCTTTGGTACATTATCTCCCTGAGGCTCTTCAGCCAATACACATAGATAAGCCTCTATTCTTTGCTACACAATAGGGGCTTTGCTAATCCTGTCTTTTACTACCCTGATGGCCCAGCTGTGCTCTTTCTTTAGGAAAGTTGAACTGATCTCTTGCGCTCCTCTCTCCCCATAAATATCAAAGTGGAGTTCTCTCAGGCATTCTCTCCTCCTTACTAGTTGCTGTCCCCTCAACTGCCCGTGTTTCTCACTCCATGTTGTGGTGGAAAGATGGGACAACCATGCTGTGAGGAGGGTATGGTCAGGGAAGCAAGGGGTGCTCGCCTCTCCCTCTCCTTGTTACTAGTCTCCGATTCTTTCTCCCCTAGTGGAGGCTCCCCAAAGCCCACTGGACCACCTCCTGGGATTGTCATCTCACCATTCTGTGCCCCGCTGGCTCATCCTACTCCTGACGCACGGGATAGTTTCACTGTCTCCAGTCCCATGCCATCAATGCAAGAGTCGCCATCTGAGTGATGAGTCCAGCAGAAGAGCTGGACCGGTCTGGTCTGTAGTTGTCTCAGCAGTATAACTAAATTACACAGCCCTTAAGAGAATATATGCAGCATGGCTCCTAGGCCAAGTTCAATGATGTAGCATCTCCATATTTTGGTTTAGAAGATTATTCACAAAACAAATTTCCTCCAATGTCAATCCCTAGATATAAGATGTAGCCACATCCAGTTGGACCAACCAGAGTCCCAAGAGCTAATCCAAGATTGAATGAGGCAACAAAGGCAAACATTACATATCACCTTCCAACTTTAATTGTTATGAAACTCACCATCCAAAGTTTTATTTGGATATTTGTTTCCACTTCTGGACACAACTTCTGTTCCAGCCCTGCGTAAATCCCATCAGATTCTTCCTAGCAATAATGAGTGAAGGATTGCATTCTGTGCTTCCTAACTTACAATTCCCCATCATCCCCAGGATGTGTAAATTTGCCACTTCTCATCCATCTCAAAAAGGCAAAAGAAGTTGCCTTGCATCAGTGAGGTTTTGACAATCTCCTGTGGCAAAGCACTCAACATTAACAAAATATGTCAAATGAAACTCTTCGGGATTGAAATAGCGCATCTCTGATGCTAAGTAAGCTCACCCATAAATAAGGTTGTTTCAACTCTTGGCTTGCAAAATACATGATACCCCTCCCAACAGGTTGCTGCTATTGATGGTAGAAAATTGATTGCACATTTTCAAGGGCTGGGAATTGTGAAAAGAGTTAACTTGAGTGTCCATCATCATTAATCTGTTTTGTCAAGAAAGCTATAGCAACTGTTGTAAGATGAACTGCTCAGTTCATGCACAACTGCTTTGTGAGCTGGACCTGAAATGTATTCCATTCTGACTCTTGACCTGATAATCCACAAAGGACCCTTCATCACATTATATGTTTATTTTACAGAGGTGATCACCATGCAGGAAGAAGAGTGTGGGCTGGATTCCCTAACACTGGTAAGTTAACTTTAGTTCAAGTGATATAGTCCCCCAGTTTAGGAAAAAGATCTCATGTTTAGTAAGTTAAAAAATGGTTTACTTACAAACTCTCCCAAGTTCAGGTTCTTGTGTTTCAGAAAGTTTAATAGGCAATAAAACTTGGCTTAGTTAAAAAGTGGTGGCAGTTTCTAGATTATTGGTAAAGGAACTCAAGAGTGTCTGTGAGAACAATGCAGTCTGAGCTGGAACAACCACCTTCATACATTGAGCTTCTCAGGTAGACTGGGAGAGGAACCATTTCCTCCTAAGGTAAGGGAAGTGGACATAGCTAAGCCTGGCAGGACAGCTTACTCTATGGTATTAACCTCTTCATGAATTAAATAGACTTAAGCATGTTGGTTATGTGAGGCTGTTTATCCCACAAATACTAGATAGATCAACATTCTGATTGCTTCCTACATGTCAAGGAGGTGCCACAGTGGAAACAATCTCTTTTCCTTCTGCTGCAGCAAAAGTGTTACCCTTGTCTAGTCAGAGGGCTGGCCATGGCTCCTACCTACAAAAACAAGGTGGGAGGCTATCTAGATGACTTCCAGTGAATAGTCAGAGAGTACCAGCTCTTGCGTTTTTGAAGACAAGCAGGTGTGGACAGCCTTAGTGCTCCAGCAAAGAATGACAAGGTTTTCCTGGAAGGTGCTCTCTGCCTTTTAAAGAAACTGGATATAAATGTTATTAATTTGCAGCATGGGTGATGATCTTCTAGCAGCTAAGCCCTTTTCCAAGGTCCAGTGTACTTCCACCTGCTCTGTCAGCCGAAACTTCTGATAGAAACCCCTGAGGGGAAAGAGCAAATCTTCTCTGTAGGGTTTAATTGTTGGTTATAGGTTACGGGAAGGACAGTTGTAATCTTTTGAAGCTAGCAGTTAAGTATCATAGAAGGGAGCTGCCTTTGACTCAAAAGGGCACACTGCAATTACAAGGAGCCAAGTGCTCATGTTAGTATCTTAGAGAAAAATGGATCGTCCGTGGCTCAGAACACAATTAGTTCTTCTCAAGATCCAGTTGAATCCTGAGTTCCCCCCTCTCTCTTGCCTTCTCATCTTGTCATTTTGAGATTTGGACAGCTTCATTTTCTTAAAGAGTGGAGCGAATTTATATTCTTCCCGTTTGATATTCAAAGCAGATGAATAATTAAATTAACCCTGTTGCTTTTTGATCAGAGTCAATGTCAAACCACTCATTTCGCATGGCTTTGGGGAGCCACCCTGTAGCAATGCTAAGCTCAGAGTTAAGCCAACTGTTTCTTTGCCTCCTTTTCTTTTGACATGGAGAGGTCCAACTCCCATCTGCTGGGAGAAGGCCAGTGGTGAATATGAAACAAAACCAGAATCCAAAATGAGTCTCACAGCTTCAGAGTACAGATTAAATTCCATCCAAGGATCTTGGGCTTCAGAACTAAATCCTGTAATCCTCTTTTGATAGAGCTAAGTGCCATTATCCTCAAATTGCAGATGGGACCAATATGAAGCTTTACGGAACCAACGGGGATGCTCTTGTCCTCAAAGTGAACCACCAGCCCAGAAACAAAAACCCAGAGCATTGTGGGTGAATGTGGATGACCATTTATCAAGTGGCAGCTTTTCACCATGTACCCATATCGCAGGCCAGCACAACTTGTGACCTGCCAAGCTGAACACAACCCGCCAGCTGTGTATTGTGGCATGCCAACTGCTTTCCAAGCTCTCCTGTTTCCACTGCCAGATAGGCTGCGAAACCAAAGAGATTTATCAATGGATTTCAGTATGTGGCTGGTGGACTGCATTCAGCTTCTTAATGTGCTTTGATGGTTCACATCTGCAATTTAAGGATAATGATGCTGTTCCAAGGCATTATGTTGTCGGTATTCACCTTTTCACACCCCTCGCCAGGACTTGGTGGCAAAGCTTCAGAAAGGGCACAGACTGGGGCATGGCTATGGGCAAAAGAACTCAAATCCAGACTCAATTCATCTCCCCACTGTTCAAAGCTGCCCGTGCTGGATTCTGAAATGCAGCAGGCAGAATACATCTATTTGTTGATCAGGCAAACTCAGCAGTAGCAGGACAGGAACTCTAGTATTTATTTTAGACCTGGCCATTTGAGAACCTTGCTTGTCTATTATGGTAGCTGATATTGCCCTCATGCATTCCAAGAGGACTCTGGAGCCTCAGCACACACAGTCCTAGGTGAGCTCAGTTGACCAAGTCCAAGCCTAGTTTCATGCAGATGTACAAGGAGGACACATGCAATATGCTATGCATGAGGCTGCTGCTGAAGGATAATAGAATCTTAAAGTTGGAAGGGACCCTGAGGATAATTGATGCCACCCCCCTGCAATGCAGGAATATGCAACTGTCCCATATCAAACCTGAAACCTTGGCATTATCAGCACCATGCTCTAACCAACTGAGCTATCCAGGCCTGGAAATGACATTTAGTACAAAATACAGCAATGTACATGGAAATCCAAACAACATTTGGAGCAGGCTGAAGGGGGTGGGTGGGTTGGATTGGGCAGGGGTGTCCAACTTCCTGGTGCAGCTAGTCTCCACTGGCCTCAAGGTCTCCATTGTACATGGGGAACAAGCAAGTGTTTGGAAATCTTCTGGTAGAATCTCTGCCCGCAGCAACCCGTAGAAAGACTTGAAACTGTGTTTTCTAGGGCCAGGGAGGGGATGAGCTGCTGCATCCCAAGCTGGCTTCACTGTGGTCACATGCGGGCATTGGGCCCAATCTGAGCCCAACTGCTACACCAGAGACAGGCTGGCACGGTCAGTTGGCTGCACCCACCTCCTACTCCTGTCTGTGGGAGCAGCAGGGCTGTGGATGACCTTGCTGCTCCCATTAAGCCCCAGTGGTCTCTGACTGGGGCTTGGATTGTAACATCTAACTGGGACCAGGCTTATGAATCAAATCCCATCCCTCTTTAAATAGCTGCTTTGACTTCTGATACATTTCTGTACTTGATTCAGGATGCTAGCATTAACCCTTAAAACCATAAGTGGCCTGGGACAGGAAAACCATAAGGTCCCACTTCTCCTAGGTCAAGATCAGGGAAGTGTTGAGTTTCCAGATGTTGCTGCTATCACAACTCCTATCATCCCTGTCACTTGGCCAGGCTGGTTGGGGGTGATTGGAGCTGGAGTCCAACAACATCCAGCTCCCCATTCCTGCCTTCAGTGAACTGCCTTGCTTGGAGATCACTAACTCCGGCCTTTCTTCACATCCTTCCAGCTTGTGAACCAGGCTAGGACTCTCTTGGTGCTGCCACCCAACTTCAGAATTTTCTGCCTCAGGATGCTTGTATGGCCCTAACACACACACACAGATGCTTTAAAATGCTGAGTTTCCTATTTTTGTAATCTGGACTTTTATCGCTCTGCTGCTACTGTTTGTAACCCCTTTCCTGTTTAAATACTCATTCTCTCATTCTTCCTTTTACATTTAGTGCAGTTTTGATTTAAACTTGTCAGCTGCTCTGAAGAGTGTGATAAATATCTCTGAAATAAATATACTCCAGAGAAGAAGTCAGGGATGACATAATCCGTCTACTTCCAGTCACATGGTTCTCTACCCTTCTGTTTCCACATTACTCAGCATATCCTTAAATATGGATTTTTAATACATATTTAAATGCACATTTTCTCTCAAAATGCGCTTGAAAACTGCATTGCAATATTTGGAGAAGCATGAAATCTGGTGGATGGCTAAGCTGTATTCTGTCCATTAATCCAAGAGGATTTATTTATTTATTGTATTTAGATACCACCCTTCATCATAAGATTTCAGGGCGGTTCACAGAATAAAAAATACAGGATAGAATCAAGTAAATAATTAAATCAAAACAGCAAAACAACAACCCCTCCTTCCCATAGACACATCTAAAAGGCTGTAGAAAATTAATCAGCCAAAGGATTGGTTGAAGAGGAATGTTTTCACCTGGTACCTAAAATTATATAATGAAGGCACCGGATGAACTTCCCTGGAGAGAGCATTCTACCTTAGCCACCATTCCCGTGTTGTCACCCTCTGGAGCTCACGTGGAGGAGGCACACAAAGAGGGGCTTACAACATACTTAAAACATCCCTATAAAATACAAAGTAATGGAATTGAAAGCAATAGATAAACTACAATAAAAGACATTTGGAACCAGCATTGAAATGTCACTTGTTGTGATAACAGCGCAGTGGTCAGCACCACCTGAACCTTAGTTTTCAAAGGCCTGCTTATACTGGGAAGGTCTTTGCCTGCTGGTGGAAAGGTAGCAAGGAGAGAGCCAATCTAACCTCTCTTGGGAGGGAATTTGGCAATATGGGAGCAGCCACAGAAAAGGATCTCACACGTCACACCACCAGCTGCGCCTCTGATATTGATGGGAACAAGAGTTAGGTGCTCACCTGAGGATCTTAGCACTGGGGCAGGTTCATAAGAATCTGCCAAGATCAGGTTTCCAAAGATCTAGCAACAGCTGCTGTCAGTGAATCCATGTACAACTCGTTCTACTCAGTGACAGCAACTAATAGGAATGTACATGGATCCTCCCAATAGTCAATTAAACAGCGACTGGTAGCCAACTTGTTTTGGAAAACAAAACTCAAGCATAGCTTTATCCAAATAACCACTTGCTGTAAGCCGTGATCTATGTTCTGTAAATGCATATTCAAAAAGCCCAGCCATGGCACTGTGATGTGGAGTCAAGTAGCAGAACCTAATGAATAAAATTGTGACTATTATGCTGATAGCATCTCTATTTCTAATTAAGTACTAATTACCCTCAAAGCTTTTGACTTTTGTTATTCATTTCAATATACAATGCTTTATGCCCTTTAATGTTATTTTATTATCAGTCTTGTTAATCTCCTCAAAGAAATCCGTATTGAGTCTCATACACCACTGACCATCTTTATTTAGAATGCATTTTTTGGGTGAGGCTTTTAAACATGTGTATTCCTCGCCTCACAAAAATGAAATAATTTGAAATCAGTCGTTGCTTGTAGCTCTGGTTCATCCCATTGAGGAGAATTTATAATCGTTATAATCCTCTGGAAGAAAATAAAGATAATGAAAGGAAAAATTAAATTCCCTTTAATAAGAGAAAGACCACAAAGAGAATGGGGAGAGGGCAGGATGGCAGGTGAAAGTCATTTCTTAATAAGCACAAAGTGCTGCACTGTGGAATAGCCCAAATTATACTAATGCACCAAGGAATACATTTTCTATTATCTCTTTTTAAAGTGTCCTCGGTGATAGTGGCAGTATATAGAGGCCCCATGTCTAAACACACTGGCCCCAATCCAAGGATACCTGTGTGGATTCCATATGGCAAACACTATGTGGAGGGAAACCATTTTAAACTATGTTAAACTAGGTAACTGTCTCCCACCAGAGGCTGTGATGGCTACCAACTTGCATGGCTTTAAAAGAAGGTTGGACAAAGTCAAGGAGAAGAAGGCTATCAATCTTCTTTGGCAATCACTCATAGCTGAGTAAGATGGTCTTCCATAAACACTGTTTTAACAATGAGTCCGTAAGTGACTGTGGAGGCCAATTCTGGATCCACACGTCCTTCCACAGTGGAGACATTGGTTTTCGGGCAGGAGTTGATCACTGTGAGGGTTTGCCAAGCGTGCCTTCCTCTTAGCACATTTCTCCCTTGCGTCCTGAGTTCGAGTGTCTTCAAAGTCCATGACACCTTTGGTAAAGGCTGTTCCCCAATTGGAGCGCTTGCAGGCAAATGTTTCCCAATTGTTGGTGTTTATACTACATTTTTAAAGATTTGCCTTGAAACAGTCTTTAAACTTCTTTTGTTGACCACCAGCATTACGCTTTCCATTTTTAAGTTCAGAATAGAGTAGTTGCTTTGGAAGACGATAATCAATAGTGTAACATTGGAAAATGTCAATCACTTCTCCTACCTGGGCAGTTATCTTTCCACAAGGGCTATCAGTAGCAACACGCCAGCATGGGGAGCACAAAGGCAGTTGCTTCAGACACAAAGCTCCTAGGGGTGCAAATTTTCAATACCCGGTGCTGCCTCAATACAGCTGCATGCTTCCATTGCTGGGCTGCATTGAAAATGGCTTCTCCATGCGAACCAGGAAGTGTCCTCTCCAGACAATGGAATGACAGTTGGGTTTCAGGTCATATTGAATCCTAACCCTGTCTTCGGCAGCATTAGGTCCCTCCCTCCCAGTTTGGTGTGATCTGCAAATTTTGTGAGCATCCCCTCACCTTACTTATCAAGACACATTTACAGTGTCACACAATTGGATGTAAACTAGCAAACCCAGGTTGATATCATTTACGTAGTGCAAGGGGCAGGGGGACTTCATTTTATTGTATCTATATTGGAAGAAGGTATCAAATTTAAAACCAGCTAACCATATACAAGAGAAAGCTCCTTATTTGCCTTAGGTCTGATCCTGCCTGCATGGTGCTGGGTGCCCTAAGTTCAAATCAGCATGAACAGTATGTGATGGTACTCAGCACCTGCCCTCAAGGGCTTTAGCACACTTGCCAAATCCACTACCCCATCTCGTTCCTTAGCTAACCTAATTAAATCGTTTATTTGATTCAAAACACAGCAAAGCCTGAAAAACCTGCCTCTGCCCTGAGCACTAAACCAATACTTGAAACAAGTGCTGGTTTACACAAAGCTTCCTAATTTGTGGCATATTATCATCCTGTTAGTGCAGTCTGCAATGTGCTCCTTGAGTGGTCGCTCTGAAGGTCTCACATACCGATGACAGGGAATGGGAGATCCTGCCCCCCCCAATCCCCTTAATTCAACCTTGTTATTTGGGGTTGGCATGCAGTGCCAACACCACCCTCCACCCGGTAGTTGCAGTTTGTATTTTGCTTGGTAGTGCCAGGTAGGCAGATAATATCAGATATCACAATTAACAATGTTTTTTTAAAAGAAAAAGAAAAGAAACAACAAAACAAAACCCTACTACAAAATAAATCATTCAGCTTCATAAGATTAATAGCAGACACAAATAAGACAGGCAGCAGAAATGAAAATAAAATATCACTGTTTACTTTAGGCCTCCCTAAAAACCTGGGCAAATGCTGGGTGGGGCTGTGTGAGTAAGAAGGCAACTAAGCTGTCAGCAGGTCCCATGGAACAAACTAAGCAGGCTCCAAGCAGAAATGGGTGAATTTGTCAACTTTAGTTTCTCTCTGTTTGTCATTGTTTCAGTCTTAAGCACAGTTCTCACATTTCCATGTCAGTGTGTGGTTTTTTTAAGTCCTCATGAAAATTCAAAAGCATTTCACTGCAAATTTCAATTGAGGTTTTGTGTGCAATTTCATATGCCTTATATACTCAACATTGCAAAGTAATTTTCCTAATGTAAAGCATCATTTTAAGTTATTTTCATGAATAAATGCACACATGCACACTTTATCTGAGAAACCTATTTTGACCCAGCTTCTACTCTCTAGGTAGTCAGTAAAGGAGCAATACAGGCGCCTGACCCATACCTTTCATTGGACAATCAGGACAGAACAGAGATTCTGTTGATGTCCTTGCAATTTCCCCCATTGTAGTAATAATAATATGCTTTTACATTGTTGCTGATTTATTATCTTGTTGTAAGCCACTTTGTGGATCTTATGTGTGGGAGTGGAGAATTTCCCTCCTCCCTTGAATGAATTGAAATGTAAGCCGAGCAAGGAAGCATCAGACATGCTTTCTTAAACCATACAATGAGAAAAGTGACTAGATAACGACTCATTTTAGGGCAGGTTGTCAACAGCAGGTCAGCAGTGTACGCTGGGGACAATGCTGCCCTTGACTTCTGGAGAGAAGAAAGCAAGGCGAGGCTTACCTGGTGATTCCCAAACAATAGCAAGAATGACAACAAAATTATACATTAAGTCAATGTTTGGGGAGTCGTCGTAATTAGGTATACCCTACCATTAGCTCCATCCACTCCACCAGTTTTTCCTCACCCACTAAGTAATTTCACCTGAGTAATTCCTTCCACTGATCTCTACCACAAGCCCCGGAGACAGAGCAATGCATTATCTATCCATCTTGGCTAATTATACATTCCCTTTGGTGGAAGCTCCTGAATGCCCTATAGCTCACATATTTAACTCGAAGCTGCTATGCAGCATGACATCTCTAAAGGGTCAGCTCAGACAACTAGCTCAAATGATGGCACCCACCATTACTGTACAGCTGCTGTGAGAAAAGAGCTTCATCCATACTGACGTCCAGCTCCCTTGGCCTGTCAGTCCACTTCCCCCACCATGTTGGTCAAGGTTCAGCATTGAATGTGGTTTGCAATGGCACACCAATTTTACACCCATCTGACAACTTCCAGTCCTGTGTCACATGGAATCTCCCATGATATGCAGGAGATCAGAGGCAGGACAAAGAGCTTTCCATGCTTCCCCTGAAAGAGTTTAATCTGTGAGGCATTGTTCCTCTTTATCTAGTCTTGAAACATATCAAGATGCCAGATGGATGGATTGGGTTCGGAACAACTCTCTGTTTAGTATTGTCCATGACTGGTGGTATAGGAGCTTAGAATGAAACTATTAATCATGAATCATCCCAGTTCCACAAGCGGTAAATTTCTCACATGGATACAGAGCCCACAAGAATGATGATAGGGGTGACAAGGGAGACACCAGAACACTGCACATTCCAAATAAATGTCCAGGTCTTATATGAAGGGAAGAATTGCCCCAATGTGGAGAATATTCTGTGCTCGCATTCTGTCCTCCAGGGAAGCAGGCACATCTCCCTTCTTCATATAAGAAGCAAAAGTCATTTATTTCCTCTGTCACCACTTCAGAGTTGTAGCAGTCAGTGGCGCAGGGTGGTGGTGCTTGCCCGACCTCCCTTTTCCAGAGTCCTGGCAGCTTGCTGGGAGGGAGAGTGGTTGTGAGGGGCAAGATAGCTGTGAGGTCAGTGTGGTTCAATTGCAGGTGAAGGAGTGCCAGACCAGTTCCTGTTTGCACTGTTCTGCCCTCACCACCACTTTGCCCTTCTCCATCCCAGTAAACTGCACCTCCCCGATCAGCCAACCATTCTGTGCAACCCAGGCACAATGCCAATGAGGTATTTGCTCACCCCACATTGTACTTCAGGGTTGAGAGGAACTTTCTCCATATTTTTGTCAATCAGTCAATCTCTTTTACTGGCATAGAAAAAGTGCATTGTATACCTGGATCAGAACACAACACAGTTAATGAAACATAGTGGGAGATACTTTAGGATAAAACTGTCCATACTTGTAGTAGATGATCCATCACATACATTCCCCTAAGGGAGACTGGCACAGGTGTTTATTTGTTAGAACTTATACCTGAGCTTTCCAGACAAAGAGGTTGGATCCAGCTAAATTCTACTGAGAGTAGGGTAAAGGTAAAGGTAAAGGTAAAGGTAAAGGACTCCTGACAGTTAAGTCCAGTCATGAACAACTCTGGGGTTGCGGTGCTCATCTCGCTTTACTGGCCGAGGAGCCGACCTTTGTCCGCAGACAGTTTTTCCGGGTCATGTGGCCAGCATGACTAAGCTGCTTCTGGCGAAACCAGAGCAGTACACGGAAACGCCATTTACCTTCCCGCTGGAGCAGTACCTATTTATCTACTTGCACTTTGATGTGCTTTCGAACTGCTAGGTTGGCAGGAGCTGGGACCAAACAATGGGAGCTCACCCCGTCATGGGGATTCGAACTGCTGACCTTCCAATCGGCAAGCCCAAGGCTCAGTAGTTTAACCCACAGTGCCACCTGCGTCCCTGAGAGTAGGGTAGACCCATTTAAATTAATGGACGTTAAATTAGTAATGCCCATTAATTTCAATGGGTCTACTCTCAGTATGACTAACTTTGGACACAACCCAAGGCATTTAAGTATAGATTCTGAAAATATTGTCTACTTGTAGTCATTTGGAACATTCTAGTATATTTTATTTAGTCTCCATTTGTGTAAGTCAGTGTAACTCCATTTAATAAATCTGCAACATATTGCATCAACAAAAAAATTGGCCCACCATGCCCGAAGTACAGCTTGAAGTGGATAAGGCTGTTGAAAAATCCATTAATTAAAAAGGAAGCACAACTCTTTGTTTCTTTTTAATGAATTTTTAAATATAAATTCTGACGATTCTGAATGTTAGCATAAAATGTAATCTGTTCTAACTCACATAGTTCAGTGAAGCTGGAATTCATGATTAATTCACTTCAGCTTCCCTTAATTCATTTAGTTTGCTTGTTTATCAAAGTGGAAGCCAACTCAATGTATCAAATGAAGGTGAATAGAACCACCTTGAATGGCTATGTGAAAGAGGCAAATTAAATGAAATCCAGCAAAGCAGGCTTAACAGATTGCTAAGTACTGATCAGCAAATCATCAATGCGCTAAGTAGAAAGGAAGTTACAACCACGCTGCAAAGTTTATTGCACAATTCTCCATCAAAATTTGCAATAAAGAAAGCAAGGAAACTGTACCAAAGGCTGACTTTAAAACAGTAATATGGAATGCCAAACTTTTTTTCTTTTTTTTTTAATGCAAGGCATGAAAAGCTTTGCAAACCACCTGCAAACTTATCTCCAGAATTTGAAAACGATGCTTGTGAGATCCGGGATTCATCATGTATGCGATTCAGTTGGTGCATTCATTCCTCCATTGTCCAAAAGCTATTGCATAGCGCGAACATTTTCTTTTTTAATTCAAGTTGCAAATTGTGCTCCCTTTAAATGACATCTGCTCATTAGCAACACAATCGTGATACTTTCAGGCAAGAGTTTTGGATGACTCAGGGATCTAATCATGGTGTACTCTCGGTATGCTTGTCTTGCCTCTCACACATATCTGTCATTCCATAAGCACATGAGGTCTATATTACATGGATCAAGAGTCCTCCACGAGGACCTGGGCAGAGAAGAGCAAAAGCATCTCTGCAAAATAATCAATAAGGATGTTTTTCCTGAAGTTTGCAGGACTCTTGCCTGGGGATGCACTCGAGGCTTGGCAATGCTTGGCTCAAATGGAAGGTGAGAACCAGGAGCCAGTGAAGACTTCCCTGGCACTGCAGGGGGCTCATAAGATGCATGCCACAAATGTTTCTGGGCAGGCAATTAATTTGGGGAAAATTAAATTAGGGCTTGTGGTTGCTCCATTGCATATTACTTTGGGGAAAACATTGATTTAATCTATCTAGACATGATTTGGGGTGTAATGAATTGAGATGACCAAAAGAGAACTGAGTCTGATTAAAAAAGGATCTGTAGGGAGATTAACTTGGGTAAATGAACCAAATAGGAACCCATTTGGGCTCGGGTGCAAATTCATTGAAAGATTTACCCAGAGAGATTTGGTTGGGAAATCAGATGGCTTGACTTCTGTGACATGTGGCCTCCACCTCTGCATCTGTACATGCACATTAGCATATGCAAAAGTTATGCAAATTTGTCTGTCTTGTGTACTAAATCATTTAAGTACCTAGCAACACCCCAAGCCAAAGAAGATTTCCCAGGCTTAACCTTGCATTGAAGGTCTGATGCTGGGGAAACTGTTGCTAGAGGGCCAACAGCCATATTCTACAGGGGCCTCTCTTGCCAGAAGAGTAGATGGGATTTTGGTTCCCATCCTTGGAAATCAGCCTCTCTGCAAATGTATGCATTGTCTCTATCTATTTGTATGAAGGCTGGTTTGTGAAAATGTTGTAGCACAAACATAAAAGGCGTGTGCAAGTCTAAAACTTTATATTGGTTTTATATCAGGATAAGCCAAATGGTCACCCAAAGAATCCTGGGAACTGGAGTTAGGGAAGAGTGCTGAAGATTCTCTGCTGGAGATCCACCATGCTATTCACAAAGCTATGTACCTGGGTACTTTGTGGTAGAAGGTGTTCAAGGGAATTACCATTAAACTAGGTCAGTGCTGTATGGTAAGAATGGGGAAATGTTCTCAGCTTGATGGACACCTTTCTCATGGACAACATTCTGAGGGCCACCTACCAGATGCAGGTGGGTCCAGAGGCAAAACTGGATGTGATCAGAGGATAAAGTGGGAAGACCCAGAGGCATAAGAGGAGTAATGAGTGTGAATCTAACCTTTGTCTAGTCGACTGCATTCCAGGTACAGTGGTACCTCGGGTTACATAGGCTTCAGGTTACATACACTTCAGGTTACACACTCCGCTAACCTAGAAATAGTGCTTCAGGTTAATAACTTTGCTTCAGGATAAGAACAGAAATCGGGCTCTGGCGGCACGGTGGCAGCAGGAGGCCCCATTAGCTAAAGTGGTGCTTCAGCTTAAGAACAGTTTCAGGTTAAGGACAGACCTCCGGAACGAATTAAGTACTTAACCCGAGGTACCACTGTAAATGAAAGTCGGCTATTTCTTCACATACATGCACACACACACACACACACACACACACACAAACTCATCTCTCCATCAAATACTGTAAATACTTGCAGCCTATTTAAGGATTTCATTGACTGCCTTTTTCTGTATGCAGCTGGAGGTTATTGCACACCCTTGGGACTGCAGCTGCCTCGACTTTCTCTGTGCAATGCAGCAAGAAGGGTGCTATTCAGCTCGAATCTAGCTACACACACCTCGGCACTTGTGCTTATGTAATGTGTAATATGGCTACCTTCCTGCCGATATACGTAGGAAGGGAGAGAAAGAGATCAGTAGCCTACTTGACTAATATGCTGCATTTGATGCTATTATAGAACACTGTGATTATACAAGGCGAACTATGTATTTTTAAAGGGTTGAACTGGAAGATTACAGTTTTATGAGGCAATTGCTTTTGGAGCTGGTAATATGTAATATTTAAATGCATGAAGTGAGAACGAAAGAAAGTGTCAGAGATTCCCTTCTTCTTCATCTGCAAAGGATGTCATCTATTCTCTGCTGATTTGCAGTTCTCTACAAATGAAAAAGAAATAGCTCTTTCTTAGCAATAATTTAAAAGTCTCCAGAGGATATATCAAGAGAGACCTAGATTGACTCTGACAAGTCTAAATCCTGTCCCTGACATTTCATTCTGCCTTTCACCTCTGTTAGATAAAATATCCATATTTTAATGTAGCAACATTTAATTTTTCTTTCCGAGTGCATTCCTATGGTCCTTGGGATGAGAGGAGGGGGCAAAGCAATAGAAAACCTTGGAGATCTCCCTATCCATGGGCAGCCAGTGGATGTCTCGTCCAGGATGCTGGGGAAAGATCTAGGGATATAAATTCTTCTGATACAGCCCTAGGGATGTGGGAGAAAGTCAGTTCCATTCACATTCTAATCAGAACTTACCTAATTCATACTTCTCAAACCAATCACAAACTGAAACACAGCTGTCCTCTGAAATTCTGAATTTTTCCAGTGCAGTTCTCCAACCAAATCATGCTTACGAAAAAGTATCAGAAGAATGTATGCATAAAATGGTGTGATATTAGGGGAAATCACTTGCTAAAAGTATTACACTGGGCAAATCTGAATATGAAAATGTATATATTAGGAGCAATGCACACTAAAACCATAGAATCATAGAAGTGTAGAGTTGGACGGGACCAGTGCAACCTTGGGTCTCCAGCTGTTTTTGAACTCCAATTCCCATCATCTCTGACCCTAGGGCTAGCTAGGGATGATGGGAGTTGTAGTCCAAAATCAGCTGGAGACTCAAGGTTGGGGAACACTGATCTAGTCCAACCCCCTGCAATGGAGAAATCTTTAGCCCAAAGTGGGGCAAGAACTCACAACCCCAAGGTTAAGAGTCTTATGCTCTACTGACTGAGCTATTTTGCAGGTAATGATGATACATATATTTTAATGCATCTCTTGTCTGGTGTGGTGTTTCCACAATGTGGAGTGTGATCTTGAAGGACCAAACAGGGAGAGGGTTCAATTGTGCTGTATATTGCAGCCCCTCCCTAAAGATATATTACTGCAGAGTTGAGGAGCACTCGGCTCAGAGCCTGAATACGGATGTCCATGTCAACCTTCCCCACCCTTCCCCAACCACACCCCCTACCAGGCTAGCATGTTTTGAGCTGGATTGTGATAATACTTCTTGCTTTCCTGGCTGGAGGATAGAGGCAGGTACATGAAGGTGTGTTGAAAGTATCCCAGGGTAGAAAGGTAAATTTACATCTGTTGCTCAGCCCACATTTGCCCCTGGCTCAGCTCGCCATTGGCATGTGACCCCCCCCCCCCGAAGAATTCCCAGAAGCGAAGGCAGTGCTCAGGCTGAAATAGATTCCCCAAGCCTGTAGTAGTGCAATGGTCAGGGATGGGTTACAACTTACTATTCATGTACGCAATGACAGCCACCAGGATGCTGGTAGCCCAGAGCTGGAAAGACAACAAGGTCCCTTCCAGAGTGGATTGGCAGAATCCAATCCACTGGACTATGCAGAAATGGCAAGAATGGCCAGGGAAATCAGAAATCAGGAGGACCAAAATTTTAATAAAGAATGGGAGAAATTTATATTATATTTGGAGGGCCACTGTAAACATTTGAACTCCTGTAATGTAACAAAGATTTTGGATATAATGGATAACTGGAAAATTGGAGTGACGTATGATATGCAGTAGAAAAGGTCAAACAAAGAACCCATGGAGGGGAGGAGCGAAGTCTAACGATTCGGAAGAATCTTGTTTATTTGAGGTTTTTTTTAATCTATGATTGTGAATGTTAATATTAATTTGTAAAATCTAATATATATATATTTAAAAAACCTTACATTTCCAAATGCTCAATATGAAATTTACTGCAAATACAGGTATCTGTTTCAGAACAGTGAATTGGTATATTCCTCTGATGCATTTTAGCATTTGTGGGCAGTCGTCATCCCCCCCCCCCCCCGATTTTCAAGATTGAGTGGAATTAATACCCCCTTTCCCAAACCAAGGTTCATTAGATGAAGCTAAAGTGATCAAATCCTCTAGGTGATCAAATATAATGTTGCAAGACAAGAGGCTTACAACGCAGTGCTAATAAGATTAAGTGAAAGGAATCAAAGCCAATTTATGTTTGGCAGTTTGGGGAATAACATTTGTGTCAAGATGCACAGTAATCATCTAAACATGGGAATAATCTACCTTGTAATTAAACAACAACAAACCTTTGTCAATAGTGCACAATTCTTGAAAGTCGGCAGAGGCGGCGTTAGTGTAAACAGAGACTAAAAAGGGTTCTTGAATTTCAGAGGCCAGAAATGCTATTTGCTAACAAAACATAACAGGCATCTGCATAGCAGAATGTGGATGTTTATCAATCAGATGAGACTAGGCGATTTTCAGTGAGCTGGGTGATATGCCACTATATGGAAGTTAATCAGCTGTGTGCCAGATAGACAGCCATCACCCCAATTGCTATTTTTTATGACTTAAGCCAGGAGTTGCCAATGTGGTGCCCGTGGGTGCAGTGGGGCCCTTGAGGTCTTCTCCTGGTAACCACTAAGTCTACAAGTCCCCCTCTCCATATATATATATATATATATATATATATATATATATATATATACACACATACATATATACACTTGAAGCTTCCAGTTGGGCATATGTGGGGTACAAAAGAATTCAGTGGATTATTTTATTCATCTGTTGGCTTAGGCATGCTCAAAACTCTTTTCTAATCCCTCAGAATGCCAAGGCAGCTAGCCCAAGGTTAGCGCCACACATACACAGTTAGCACCACACACAAAAGGGGAGAGGAACGGGTTGTGTGAATGACTCTATTTTGAGAGTTTAAGTGTAATGTGCAAAAGAGGAATTTGAACTTACCTCCCACGGAGAGCTATGTGAAGAATCTGTAGTCTGAGCATCCCACTGCTCCAAAAATGCCTTAGTCTCTCACCCATACATTACATCTGATGACTCTTCTTAAGCTGAATTCATACTACCAGCCCTGGATTGCAGTTTGTCAAGTGCATGGGCATGCCCTTGATGCCACAGTCCCAAGAGGGCAGCACCTAAGGTCTACTGTAGATGTGTTGCACGTGCTTCTCCCGGGGCTGGAAAGGGGTTAGTTTAACCTCTGGTTTACTAGTAAAACTGAATTACTGTGTTGTCATGAAATGATGCGTGTCTAAAAAGTGTGTCACCAACATGAAAAGTTTGGAAAGCTCTGCATCGAGGGCTTTATGATAAGATACGATACGATAATCTTCATTATCATTGTCCCATACAGAACAACGAAATTGAAAAAATCTACATAAGACATTCAAAAACCAACAAGCCTGCTATCCCAACTATCCCAACCTGGTTAGCCCCCTAAAAACTCTGATATCCCATTTTAAAATACAATATACTCCCATAGAGACTCCTTACACTGCATTTTAAAGCAAAATCGCATTTGGATAGAAACTTTATGTACTAATAGTAACACCTTAGACTTGGTTTGGTGGCAGATTAGCAGATTAGCAACCAGTGCAGGTCTCTGAGCGCAGGTGTTATATGTTGTCAGGGTCTCACTTCTGTCAGCAACTGTACTGCAGTACATTCCACACTCACTGCAGCTTCTGGGTCAAGTGCAAGAGAAGCCCCACATACAGCACAGTGTCAGGCCATGGCTTCTGCTTCAAGGGTGGAGATACAAACATCACCCTTCTCCGTTGGAGGCCTCAGAGCATACACAAAGAATAACAAGACACATGAGGGATCATCTTCCACCCAGCAAGGAGTCGACTGATATACCTGGTGGCATGTGAAGATGGAGCCTGGTAATTTCATGTTTCTGCCTGAAGCATTTCCTAAATCCTGTATTTCTGCCATCACACATGATAATTGCTGGTATTTTTTTTTAAAAAAAAGCTGCTTCTGCTGCTTATCCTGAGAGCTCCCGGTGATAAATCTGTGCCTTACTGCAATTGTTTCTTTCATTGGTATAATGAAATTGATATAAATGTCTCAATCTCTCTCTCTCTCTCCTCTCCCTTTTGCAAAAAAAATAGTGAAGCTAATGTGTTACTTGAGGAAATGTGATCCTGCTATTTTGAGAGTAATTAAAATGTTTCACCAAGCAGACGACAGATGTGATAACATGCGACAAGGTTAGGGACTCCATGGGCGTGATTCACAAGCATATATATTAGCCTTAATCCACTAATGAATTTGTTTTATTAGTTGGAGGAAAGATAAAAAATTTCATGGATGCTCATTATCTCCTCATACATGGGAAGCAGCTTTTCACGGGAGAAAGGAAAGAATCTTGCTCTTTTCACAAAGCTTTCTGGCTCTCTTCTCACAAGCAGGTTCAAAATTGGATGGCTACAACATCAAGTGATGACTTCACCACTATTGCATCACCAGTGAGATCTGCAACAAAATTTTGAGGTGTACAGTGGTACCTCGGGTTACATACTCTTCAGGTTACATACGCTTCAGGTTACAGACTCTGCTAACCCAGAAATAGTACCTCGGGTTAAGAACTTTGCTTCAGGATGAGAGCAGAAATCGTGCAGCGGCAGCAGGAGGCCCCATTAGCTAAAGTGGTGCTTCAGGTCAAGAACAGTTTCAGGTTAAGAACAGACCTCCAGAACTAATTAAGTACTTAACCTGAGGTATCACTGTATATGAATGTTGGTGGCTGTGGTGTGTGTGGTAGTTTGTTGCAATAAATGTTATACTTTTCAAGGTTCTTGTATTAATTTTCAAGACCCTGAACAATTTGGCCCAGGATACCTCAAGTACCATTTTTTTAAAAAAAATATTTTTTAATTAATTACCCATTAATAATGGTCCAGTTAATAACATATCAATTCATACCAAATCATAAATCATAACCCAAATAATAAATCAAATTATACATTCTAAATTAAAAGCCAATTAAACATTCCGAATCAAATAATTTCAAGTACCATTTAAACCTTGCCCGGTCGCTGTGGTCTTTAGAGGAGCCATGCATCTAGTATTATGGGCTCCAATTTTACAGAACTTCCTTTCCAGTTGTGGGCAGATGGGCCCCATCCCTGCTGAACGTCTGGCAACTCCTGAAAACCTTTTTTAAAAATAAATAAATAAAAATAAATCAATTTTAATTGATTTTATAGTTTTAACTGATTTATCGTTCTTGCGCTGTATCTTTGAGGCTATTGTAGTTAAGTGCCATGTAAGTTGCTCAAATAAATAAATAGATAGATAACACATTGGAAGTGAGTGCTGGCATAAGCGTCTGTGCGGCACAGCTTTAAGACTGACACCTACGCATGCATGCTCACTATAGGAACTGAACAAGTTCCCTCATAATGAGTCAGACCATTGGTCCATTTTTGCATAGTATCATCTACAATTAGTAGCAGCGATTCTTTCTCAGCCCTACCTCTGGGGGGAGGCCAGAGATTGCACCAGGGAATTTTTGCATGCAAATCATGTACTCCGCCACTTCAGCTACGGCCCACACCCACCCATTGCATGCACCACTTATTTACAATGTCATTACTAATATGAGAGTTAATATATATTACAAATATATTTGTGTAAGAGCGAAATTGTATTTTATGCATGTGGTGGAAAGCCCAATGAGTAATCTCTTTGATTAAATGTTAGAAAGTGTATGATGCAGAATTATTGCTCGGGACTGCTTTGCAATCCTTACACCTAGTCGAAGTGGATGCCCAGGTTTGAGCTGTGGGAAGGGGGAGATCTTTCCATATTCCCCCCCCCCATACTGCCCAGCATGATCAGATAGCTAGGCAGGCACAGAATCGCCCCGATGGATTCAATAGATCTTGGGACGTTAACTAATGTACAAGAATGGCATGTAATATATTCTTTGCCAGCTGCTTAAAATATGGGCTAGGAGGATCAGAGAGATTTACCACACAGATAAATGTCATGTTGCACAAAATAATTGGAATGCAATGAGAACTACATTATGCAAGCAACATCCTCCATCCAGTCAATGGAGTTGTAATGTGTAATTACTATGCTATGAGTAAATGTGAGCAAATCGCATCTTTGAGACTTCTCTGATGCGGGATTGAGCCTCCTATGGCAAGAGGTAAGACTGAAAATTCCCATGTGCTGACGAGAGGTGGTGGTCCACAGAGGCAAGAGGTCACCCGGCTCCCATGCAGACTGATGTGGAAATAGGGTAAACTGAACATACGACTGGAACAATTAGAAACTAACGCTGGCAGATTCACCCATCCCTACTTACGATTCATCAAGCCATCATGGTCCACCACCTGTACTGAAGCTTCCCAGGTGCCTGACAACACATGTGGGTTTCCCCCTTCTGTTTAAGTAGAATCGTAGAGTTGGAAGGGACCCTGAGGAACATCTAGTCCAACCCCTGCAATGCAGCTGTCCCATACGGGAATCGAACCTGCAACCTTGGCATTGTCAGCAGTAGGTTCTAACCAACTGAGCTACCCAGGCTGCATTTCTGCTACCATGTAATCCAAGGGACCCCGCCAAGCCCAGTCCAGTTTACAGATGGTGCCTTCATGTACCTTCAGATTGTATCATCCCATTCTGGTCAAGCATAATGAGCAAGCGGTTTACTAAGGGGCCTTTGGACACCATCAATGGCTTAGTACCATGTTGGGCAGGCTTGATCGAAATGAAAATAAATCCTGATTGCTTTCTCTCTTCTTTTCCTCCTCTCAGATCTCTTGCCTATTACACAGCACTCAAGCCGTGCAGCTGATTGGTAGTACAAATCTTAGAACCCCCTTGCAATGACTAACAGTCCTAATTATGATTTTGGAGTGATAGAATTCCAGGCCTGGGGAGCTTTTAACAGTGCAGACCAGGGAGGTGAAAGGTCAGCACCACAATAACTGCAATCGCCTTTGCTTCTCAACAGAGCGAAGTACGTGTTAATGAGAGTTAGACCTCAATGCCAGTTCACAGCATTTCACTGCAGTCTCTTTAATGACCAAGAAAGCATGTTACTCATTTTCCCATGTCATGGCACTGATTGCAAAGCACACACTGCAAAGCACACACTTGGTTTTGAAAGATTTTGCCCTTTGGCAATCTGTGTACTCCTATTGGGGGGGGTGAACACATTGCCCTTTTCTTTTCTTCTTTGGTTCTTTCCCCTCCCCTTCAGAACTTTGTAATTTATTACATTCCTTTCTTGCATGTACATGCACCTTGGCACTGTGCTGCTTTCTCACTGAGATTTGGGGAAGATCATGACGGAACACGTTTGCTGGAGGATGGCAAGGAGGTATTTGTATGCAAGCGTTAAGCAGAGAGTCCAAAATTGCCTATATATGGACAGGCGGCTTAAGCAGGAACCCAGGGAGGGAGCTGAGAGACATTTCAGTTGAGTTCTTACACTGAAATGGGATGCTTACAGAGACAGATGTGGAGAGAGCACACGAAGCCAAGATGATGAAAGAAATTGAGCACTCTCACTCTGCTGGTTTCCAGAAATCAAAAAGTATTTTTTCTCATTTAGCAAAGCAGAAACTTCCTCCTCCCAACACAACATTGTGCATATTTATAAATGGATTATAGGCTTTTTTAAAAAAAGAAGTCTCACTGTACATCAGACTTCACCAACGTAGGGCCCTCCAGAGGTTTAGGACAACTCCCAACAGCCCTTGCAGTGTTGGCTGGGGCTGATGGAAGTTGTGGTCCTAAACATCTGGTGGACTTCAGGTTCCAAACATCTGGAGTTGTGGTGTTGGACATCTGGATAACACCAGGTTGGCAAAACTTGCCTTTCACAATTGTCACTTTTTTGTTATTTTGCAAAGCCAAACCACTCAGTACGCTACTGCATCAAGTTAACTAGGTCATCATCAAGAGGCAGAATTGTTTCATACAATGGAGCAGAGAATAGCTATAATCTCCTGGCAGCAGAAAGGGGTATGATGGCAGGGAGGTTGAGGCCATGTGGGTGTACCAGTAGAAGGCTGGTTTGGCTCCTCCGGTGCACCAATGAAGCCCTGATCTCACCACTGTCTCCAAGCAAGTAGCAGTGATGCTGCTGAGAGAAGGCTATTGCTATGATTCAGCCACACCAGGTGCTCCACTGCTGTCAAGAGGCTTACCGAGATCCCAGGATAATCATGGGGTTGTCTGTTATCTAGGTACTTTATTTTAATTATACAAACTGTTCAATATGGAGTTGAAGATGTAGATCACTTGCAACCCAATCCAGGGCCGGCCCAGTCATGCAGCAGGGTGAAACAATCTGGTTCACCATGAAGAGCAGGTAGATGAAGATGGGAACTGGCACATCATTCAAGCTCTAATTCAGGTGGCAAAATGTACTGGGCTGGCACATCCCCAAAGCTTATATGATTTTAAGAAGGTCACTCTGACTTCAATGGGACTTTCAAATAAATATACGCATAGTATAACAGCTTTATAGCTGTTGCAGTCTTCCTGTTTTGGGTGGCATACTCTGGTCACAGCTTGCCTCGTAATCCATTTTATGAATGACATTTGCCATTCACTGCTATCTCACCACCAGAACCTGCTAGACTTGCAGAGCGGGATCTTACATTGGCCCAGGCCACAAGTAACCTCAAACACTGCTGGATCTTGCCTTGCTTGCCTGGTGACATCCAGTTGCCAGAGGAGACAGGGCTCTTCCAACAGTTATGCAGAAGAGGGCAATTAAGCCAGAGCTGCTGTGTATCTGACTTCACAAGGGACAATCATCTGTTTGAAGGAATCCTCTATTTGAAATCCTCTGTCTGGCCCAAGCTCGGTTTAAATGTAAAGAGCTGTAAGAAAGAAAGGCACGGGTCTTGCTTATCCATCAATAGGTAGCAGAACCTGCAGAAGTGGACTTGGCAGGCACACAGATCACCTGGTCTTCCACACTGGTAAAAATGCATTGCATTTCTATTTAATTTAGACTAATATTTTCTAACTTTGGATGTATTTGGATGTATTTATACGTATAATAGCATATACAGATTCTATGCAAACCCATCTCGTCTTTTTTCTAGCATTGCAAAGGGGCCACCCTTACTTCAGCGAATGTAGTTTGCATGTTCAGCTACATCTGCTGAAATACCTTCTTCTACACAACTGTTAAAGGTGCAGGAGCCCTGTTTTCTATGGCCACTGACCTCCATACCTGTTGCAAAGAAGGAATACTGGTGACCATGCCCTAACCATGTTGGAGTCCTGAAGCATGTGTATGCTTTAGGCCTAGTACACCCTATGGACATGCTTGGATTACCCAAAGTTCCCCCCATCTGTCAGGGACTGGACTGAGGGGGATGAGACTGAGGAGGAATGGTGGAGACCGCCCCCCTCCTCCTGAACCTTCCAGAGAAGAGGAAGGCAGTATTGAATTACAGCAGTGGTTTGAGGAAGGTCACAGCTCAGAGACAGGCGAACAGAAGAAGAAGAAGAGTTTGGATTTGATATCCCGCCTTTCACTCCCCTTCAGGAGTCTCAAAGCGGCTAACAATCTCCTTTCCCTCCCCCCCCCCCACAACAAACACTCTGCGAGGTGAGTGGGGCTGAGAGACTTCAAAGAAGTGTGACTGGCCCAAGGTCACCCAGCAGCTGCATGTGGAGGAGCGGAGACGCGAACCCGGTTCCCCAGATAACGTGACTACCGCTCTTAACCACTACACCACACTGGCTCTTGAACAGAAGAGTTGGGAGAAGTGAAGGGGGAGACAGAAACAGAGCAGCCAGCTGACACGTTATCACTGGAGAGAATTTCTAGCCCCCCTTCCTCCAGAACCCGGCATCCATTGAAAGTGGAAGAGCAAAGAACTTAGAGACTTCACCATAAGGGGAAGTGCTGTTGCTGGGAAGGGAAGGTGGAGGAGCTCAGTTGGAGCAATGCCATTAAACTAAGAGGCAGTGTATAGAGGCCTCTCACTGTGAATATTGAATATAGACTTGGTAAGAGCTTCCTTGTCTACTTCTTTGGCTGTCATATAGTGGGGGGAGGACTGGAATTCATTGAACCTGACACTATTCATCACTTTGTACATAGTATCTCTTATGGCTCATAAGAATATAAGAAGAGCCCTATTGGACCATGCTAAAGGCCTGTCTGGTCCAGTATCCTGTTCTGACAGTGGTCAACTGATTGACTCTGGGAAGTCCACTAGGAGGACTTGAGTTCAACAGCACATGTCCCAGGAACTGACAACGGAGGCAGATCATGGTCATCCTGGCCAGTAGCTACTGCTAGCCTTATCTTCCAGTTGCCATTTAACTCATGGAGGATGCTTTGTGCTGCTACTGCATTTTCTCCTTCTGCATGGTACAAACATTTTCTTTATTAAATAGAAGAGTCACCCCTGAAACCCCAGGCCACTCCACTGTTCACCTCAGCATATGAGATTCAGTGTAGACAATTGACAGGCACCAGGAAGCTGGCAGCCGCTTGAACATTACATGAGCTTGATGACACTTGGTAACCTTGCAATTAGGTGCACTTCTGTCTTTCATAACTCTGGCTTTCTGCCATTCAGCATATATATATATTTAGAATGCCTAGGAAGAAGGGACCTGTTGGTTGACTTCTCTAAGAGCACTGCAGGTCAACAGAGAAAACCTCTGAGTGTTGGGGCTGTGAGATAAGGGAACACTGGCTTTCTCTGACGCTATGTAAAGCTCTGGCTCATGCCCCAGAAGAAACCCGATTGGATTGGAAATGAGCTGAAACGTGGCACTGTCGATTTTATTGCTAAAATCAATTGCACGACATTGAATAACACAAACGAGAGGGATGTTGCTGAAATCAATCTGGCTTCCTGTCTTTTTCTGGGCACCCTGTTATGTTAGGCCAAACCCTTGGGGAGAAGACAGAGCTTTTCAAGACTGACAACGCTACTCAGAAGCAACCAGGAGTACATGGAAACAGGAAGTTGCCTTATACCACACCAGACCATTGGTACATATAGCACAGTACACTAATGTGGGTGGTTTTTCAGGGTTTCAGGCCTTTCTCAGCCCTACTGTGATAGCCTGGGACTCAGACTCGGAACTAGAGGAGTCTCAGTCCGCACTGGATCCTTTGCCTCAGGGAGCATCTGAACCAAGTATGGGGCCTGATTCTGAAGAGCCCCGGTCTGCACAGGTTCCCCCGCAACAAGCACCAGCTGGGCTGAGTCAGGGGCCTGAGCCTGCCCTGGCTGCAGATGCGGGGATTGCCTTGTTGCCTTCAGCTGGGCAATCACTTACAGCTGCTCCACTACTACTTGGGTCAGGAGAGGCTGAGGCGGCCTCTCGGTCTAGTAACCCACCAACATCTCCCAAGCTGCAGAGACTAAGGTCTGAGAGAAGGAGAGACCTGAGTACTCGCAGGAGGAGTGCTTGCCTTTGGGTGAGACAGGGAGATGAGTCACTGGGGGATCAGGACCAGCTGTTAGCCCAACAAATATAAAAGGCTGTAGACCCCGCCCCAGGTTGCGGGAACAACATTGCTGTTTGCCAGAACCTGCCTTGGCCCTGGCGGACTGACTCCTCGTGGAACCCTTGGATTCAGGACTGGACCTGGACCGCATTGCTCGGGTTACCCCCGGGCCCAGCACACCTACCTGGAGATACCAGGGATTGAAATTTGGACCTTCTGCATTCAAAACCGTTGCTCTTCTCCCTCTCTAATAGCGATGGCTATTCCCTGCCTCCACAGCTGGCGGCAGTAATGCTTCTGTATACCAATTGCTGGAAACTGAAGGAGGGGAGAGGGCTCTTGGGCTTGAATCCTGCTTGCAGTCTTCCCATTGGGGCAACTGGTTGACCGCTATGAGGACAGGATACTGGACTAGAAGGGCCATGGCCTGATCCAGTAGGTTCTTATGTAAGGAAAGAGAGAAGCGTTTCAGCACAAAATGCTGGGCCGCCTAGGAAGCCTCTCAAATATCTCAGATTAGGAGGAAGGAGGAAACAAAACATTAGGAGTAAATGTATGTTCTTTCCTGAGTGGGTTAAAAAAAATGTCCCTCAAGGAACTAATGTAATTGAGGGAGGGCAACACTGATCTTGTCTTTCTTTTTCAGTTAGATTTATCATTCATTTTCTTCATTTACCATTAAGGCAGGTCCAGTGAGGTTGCAAGTAGTTTACGGCCTTTAACAAATGGCCTCCTACGCAGGCCTGATTTAATTAGGAGACAAGCCTTATTATTTGACCTTAATGGACTTCCTATTCAAAACGGCAGCCTCTATTTCCACCCCCTCATCAAGACAGATAATCAGCCCTCTTATTTTTCCAAGGCTGAAATTTTGAAGGGTTGCTGAGCAGCACTGAGCCATCAAGCAGTGCTGGAAATGGCAAAGTTAGCCCCAAAGGCGCAGCTGGATATGGCAAAGTAAAGGAGATGCCGAAGGGCCATGGCTCAGCAGCAAAGCACCTGTTTTTCATGGAGAAGGTCCCAGGTTCAGCTCCAGCGTCTCCAGGTTCGGCTGGGAATGTTTCCTGCCTGAAACTCTGGAGAGTTGCTTCCAATCAGAGTGAACAATACTGAGCTAGGTAGAACCGTGATCTGACTTTCTATGGTTCTCTATGTTCCTACAGTAAAAATGGCAACAGAGAGTAATCTCCACATTGTTGTCGCAAGGCAGCTGGGTCAGGACTTGAAATATTTCAGTTCAATAAAGAGATCACTTCCCTTCCCCTTCACTCCAAATGAAGGCCTATGAATTCATTAGTTACTTATTATTGTAATAATGCTATTATTTCCAGGAATGTGTCATTTACCGGAATCCAGCTGGGTAAATAAATGCAAATGGCTAATTTTGCCTATCAACAGCCAGTTTCTATGGTACCATGTCAAATGATGAAACAACCTTGATCTCTTATTATAAAGTGCAATTGAATATCCAGATTTTGTTAATTGCATTATAGCCAAGATTATTTGATGACTCCCCCACCTAGATATATGAATTTATTTGTGAAAATGCTGACATTTGCATACTGTTTCTAAACTAAATAAGTGTTTCCATTTGCAAACAAGTGTCTGTGGTTTCTGTTCTCAGTCCCTCCCATCCCATTTTTGCTTCCATTTTTTCAAGTTGAAATAATAATAATAATAATAATAATAATAATAATATAATTTATTATTTAAACCCCACCCATCTGGCTGGGTTTTCCCAGCCACTCTGGGCGGTTTCCAACAGAATATTAAAATACAATAATCTATTAAACATTAAAAGCTTCCCTAAACAGGGCTGCCTTCAGATGTCTTCTAAAAGTCTGGTAGTTGTTTTTCTCTTTGACATCTGGTGGGAGGGCCTTCCACAGGGTGGGTGCCACTACCGAGAAGGCCCTCTGCCTGGTTCCCTGTAACTTGGCTTCTCACAATGAGGGAACCGCCAGAAGGCCCTCGGCACTGGACCTCAGTGTCCGGGCAGAACGATGGGGGTGGAGACACTCCTTCAGGTATACTGGGCCAAGGCCGTTTAGGGCTTTAAAGATTAGCACCAACACTTTGAATAGTGCTCGGAAACGTACTGGGAGTCAAACATCCTTAGGTACTTTATGGAGAAGCAGCTTGGAGCGCTGTATTTAACTTTTGGTATACAGTGGTACCTCTGGTTACATACGCTTCAGGTTACATACGCTTCAGGTTATAGACACCGCTAACCCAGAAATAGTACCTCGGATTAAGAACTTTGCTTCAGGATGAGAACAGAAACCGTGCTCTGGCAGTGCAGCGGCAGCGGCAAGCCCCATTAGCTAAAATGGTGCTTCAGGTTAAGAACAGTTTCAGGTTAAGAATGGACCTCCGGAACGAATTAAGTACTTAACCCGAGGTACCACTGTACTTGTGACTATTGATTTAATAGATACATTGATGCTTTACAGTACAATCTTTTACATATCTCCTTAGAAGTATGTTCAGTGGGACTTGCACAATTATTTGGAAGTGAGTCCCATTGTGTTCAATGGGGCTTGTTTTCAGATAAGTTTCTTTAGTATTGTACCCTAAATGTCATAACTTTTCCAAATGGTGCAATTGTATGTATTACAATTATACAGAAAACATTTCAGGCTCCTAAAGCAGTTAAGTAAGATTAGATTTGATAAAGCGGTGAAGACTTAATTTCACTCCCCACTTTGCTTTCCCACACTTTCCCCTGTTGGATCCAACAGAATTAGTCTGAGCCTTGAAATTCATCAAGAGCTGAAGGAGGAAGTGAGAAAAAGAGGCATTCTTCCCAATTGCTCTCTGTCAGACACATCCAAAGTCCGTTTCTGGGGCCTAGTCTGACCTGCTGGTCAATTTAATCTGGTCTCCATGGTAGTAAATGTCCTGAAGTAAAATCCTAAAAAAAGCTCAATAACTTCAATTGTCTAAAAAGCTCAACAACTTAAATCCTAAGAAAAGCTCAAGAACTTTGGTCGGCCCTCACGCATTTTCACTGCATATAATCTGGCCCTCTTTGGAAAAAGTTTGGGCACCCCTGCTCTACGTAGTTCTCAAGGTAACTGCTCTTACCATCTCATGACCAAGGAGGCACTATGAGGGGGCAGGGGCTCAGAGACCGAGTGGTTACCAGGAGGAAACCTCACGACATACCTAATTCCACCTTTTGGCTAGCAGATTAGAAACCTAATTTTAGATGGAAAATTATAATTTGGCTACAATGAAAAACTATTGCAGGAGTCATCTGATAAAAGGCAATTCCCTTTCACAGCAAAACCAGTTTTAGGAAGGGTGAGGTGGCCACCTCTGACAGCTGGTTTTGGGTGTCTCCAAAGGGAGACGCATTTGTGGGATTTTCTGCCTCATCTGCCAACAATACCTTGCTCAGCTTTGAATACTAAGCACCTTGATGGGAGGATGGGGGGGGGGAAACAACACACCATTTGCTGTTTCATCTTAGGCAGCAAATTGTCTGGGAGGTGAGTGTACGTCTTCTGTAATGGTTCCTGGTGGGATACTTGCAGAATTTGCCTCATCTGCTAAAATCTCTTTGTATGTCCCCTGCTGAAATCTGAAAAGTTTTCCCATTTTGAACTCCCCATAGCTTACTCCTGTATGTACTTGTGACCCATGCAGAGAGGTCTTTAATCCCTTTCTCTCTCCAATAAACACCAATGTGATCTCTCTCTCTCTCTCTCTCTCTCTCTCTCTCTCTCTCTCTCTCTCAGACTTCTTTATTTGCTGTGACATGAAGCCTCATCAAGGTTGGAAACCAACTCCCCCCCCCCCCAGGAGCAATTGGGCAATGTGTAAACTCTAAGGACCAGCTGAAAAGTATGCTGGTGATCTCATCCTTCATAAAGAACCTGATTTCCAATTATGTTTATCAGTCACTTCAGGTAAATAGTGACCTAATTGCTGAATGATCCATTGTTATTATTGCATTAGCCAAAGGGCTGTTGCAAAGATGACGCAGGAAAGTTCTTCTCTGTTGCTCCACAGGGTAGGACCTGAGCCAATGGGTTCAAATAACAAGAAATGGGACTTTGACTTAACATTAGGAATAACTTCCTGACAGTACAAACTGTTCAGCAGTGTAACAGGCTGCCTCAGAAGGAAATAGACTGCCTTTTCTTAGATGCTTTTAAGAGTAGACATGATGCTGATGCTGCTTAATTTTATTTGCAGAGGCAGATGGCTACCTAGCAGGGATGTTGTCATGGTGCATTTCTGGATGTCCTTTGAGTTCCCTCCATCTCTTTGATTTGCTTGCATATATAGGGACGCGCGTTGCGCTGTGGGTTAAACCACAGAGCCTAGGACTTGCCAATCAGAAGGTCGGCGGTTTGAATCCCCGCGACGGGGTGAGCTCCCGTTGCTCGGTCCCTGCTCCTGCCAACCTAGCAGTTCGAAAGCACGTCAAAGTGCAAGTAGATAAATAGGTACCGCTCTGGCGGGAAGGTAAACGGTGTTTCTATGCACTGCTCTGGTTCACCAGAAGCGGCTTAGTCATGCTGGCCACATGACCTGGAAGCTGTATGCCAGCTCCCTTGGCCAATAAAGCAAGATGAGCGCTGCAACCCCAGAGTCGGCCACGACTGGACCTAATCTTCAGGGGTCCCTTTACCTTTACCTTACTGTGCATCAAAGTATTGGCTGCACTTACTCCGTTGGGTCAAAACCCTTTGAGAATTTCTCATCCACACACTTAGGGAGAAAAACACAAGAGCTGGACCCGGCTCCCACAAGCGAGGCTTGTCTTCTGCAGGAATCATGTCCTTTGTCTCCGGTGTCAAAATATCAGCATACCTCACTTGTCTATCTAATCTTCTCACCTGAACTATTTATGGTATTTTTCTAGTGCCTGTCACTGAAGTATTCAAACATTGGTGGGGGGGGGGAAATCCCTCAGAAATGTCATTTATGCACACTAATTCTTTGCAACATTCTGATCTCTCCAAGTTTCGCAATCCCCCTGCCTTCTTCGTCTCTGTTTTAGGTGCTGCTTGCTTGTTGACTCTCTGCTTTCTATCAGCTTGACAGGTTTAAACAGCCATAGTAGAATTCCTTTGGCTTGAATGTTGGGCTAGTTGCCTTCTCTGCCAGCTCAGAACCCAATACAAAGACTCCAGATGGTCACAGTAGTAGATCTATGCTTTTGATATAAATCACTTGGCCTTTGGATGGAAGCCTTTGAAATGACACCCTGTTCAAGTGCTCCTTGTAGAAAGAGGCTACTCCTCCCAGCTTTAAGAAAACACATACAGTTTCTACTAGAATATTAAAACTGTGTGGAGCTTGGAGGGTTGACTCCTTGTTATTACTTAATAAGTACCAGATGAGTTTCAATGTAATGACAACACAATGTGGAAAACAATACGGAATAGCATTTTATTGCTACGTGCGCACACACACACACACATACATTTTGAACCTTTTCCATGGAGAAATTACTTTTGTTCACACCCACCTTTGAGTTCTTCCCCTTTGGAAACTTCTGCACTACTGCAATTCAGTTGCAAATGAAGCACTATCATCTCCTATCTAAACAAAGCTGAAGTAAGGGTAATGGCCCATTGTCCGATTTATCTCTTGCTAAGTAAGGTAAAGGGACCCCTGACCATTAGGTCCAGTCGTGACCGACTCTGGGGTTGCGGCGCTCATCTCGCTCTATGGGCCGAGGGAGCCGGCATACAACTTCCGGATCATGTGGCCAGCATGAATAAGCCGCTTCTGGTGAACCAGAGCAGCGCACGGAAACGCCGTTTACCTTCCCGCAGGAGCGGTTCCTATTTATCTACTTGCACTTTGACGTGCTTTCGAACTGCTAGGTTGGCAGGAGCTGGGACCGAGCAATGGGAGCTCACCCTGTCACAGGGATTTGAACCGCCGACCTTCTGATTGGCAAGCTCTAGGCTCTGTGGTTTAACCCACAGCGCCACCTGCATCCCATTATCCCTTGCTACCCCACCCTAAAACTTCAAGAGGATTAAGGAAGCAAACTAGCCTTACACATAGACCAAAGGGCCTTTGAGGACCTCAGTAGTAAAAATAATTCCTTATCTTCAAACCCATTATTTCTCATTTCTATGTTGATCTGTGCCTTAAAAAAAAAAGTATAAATTTATTTAGAAAATTTTGTGAACTGCAAAGAGTTGCCTAAGCGAGGCATAGGCAAGCTCGGCCCTCCAGATGTTTTGGGACTACAGCTCCCATCATCCCTGACCACTGGTCCTGTTAGCTAGGGATGGTGGGAGTTGTAGTCCCAAAACATCTGGAGGGCCGAGTTTGCCTATGCCTGGCCTAAGCAGTATACATGATAATAAAATTAAATTGAAGGAAAAAGTCACTAAAATCTAATCTATCTATCTTCACTGGAGAATTTGGGTCCACTAATTTAAGTGGGTGTACCCTGAGTGAAACTTAGCCAAGTTCCAGCCACAAGAAAACTTCATGTCCCATTCTGTTCTGTTCTTATTGATGCTCCATTAAGCCACATCAGTTTCTTTGGATCATAAGATAAAGTTGTGCTGCTCTTCCCATTATTGTAGTCAAGGTTTTGTGGTGCATATACATGTATTTTCACCTAGCTCGCTGCTTCCTAGAAGGTGGAGGTGGGGAGTTAACAATGTCCTGCTAAAAAAACCAGCAGTGTAAGGATATCTGCTATTTTCGTATGGACTTTTTGACCTGGGCGGAAGGAAGGCATTTTAAGAGGTATTTCACATTCAACACAAGCGAGTGCATACAGAGAATATGCGAGTTGGAAAAGGTACTATAAATCTTTTATTGCTCTGCGTCTGGGATGACCACGTTAGTCAAGACTCAGTTATGCAGATTTTTCCAAAACTAATGACAATAAAAACTTTACACCTCACTGGGCCTTCACATACTTTTTGCTCACACTCTGTCCTTTATTTCTTCTGATCCTTTGCCTCATTTCTTCGCACAGAAATAGAAAACAGTCTTGTAGCATGCCAGACCGTCAGTTCATCCAGCACAGTGTTTGTCTGCACCAACTGACAGAGGCTGTCCAGGGCTTCAGACCAGGAGTCTCTCGCAGTCTGACCTGGATATCCCAGGGATTGAAACTAGGACCTTATATATTTATTTATTTTACTACATTTCTAGGCTGGATCTACACTGACCTGTTTAACTTTATTCCCCCCATTAGAACAATATTAGGCATGCCGCTCTAAAATTTCACAGGACATACTTGTTATTGTTATTATTTGCATTGGTTTTTTCCATCAAATGTAAGTAATACCCAGCCACACCATTTCCCAAAATGCTGTTTCTGCTGGTTGCTGGTTCCTCTGCTCCACCCTCTGGTGTCACATTTTAATTCTTCCTCCCTCCCTCCTTCCCTCCATGTCCTTTGTTATCTACCCCTTGAATACCATTGGAGAGGGGTCGGTGTTTGAAGGCAGTAAAAAAAAGGTAAAACAATACATAGAGACATATGAGCAGTTTTTCACCGATACAGCAGCAGAAAACAATTAAAATTAGGCAATAAAAAAGCCAAGGTATTAACACATTATGAATGTAAAAAGTAGGATTTCATGTGTTCATCTACATCAGGCATAGGCAAACTCGGTTCTCCAAATGTTTTGGGACTACAACTCCCATCATCCCTAGCTAACAGGACCAGTGGTCAGGGATGATGGGAACTGTAGTCTCAAAAACATCTGGAGGGCTGAGTTCGTCTATGAAAACTACATTATCAAAACCATTCCTTAACCCTTCCATGATATTAAAAAACAGAAGTGTAGATCTTTCCCAGCCCACTTTTCCTCCGGGGACCTTGAGGTAGCAGATATAGTTCTCCTCCCCCACCATTTTATCCTCACAACAACCTTGGTGCTGGCAGGGAGAAAGGCACAAGCCCAACAGTAGGTGGAACCAGAGCCAATGGCAGGCAGAGAGGCAGAGTCACCCCCTGATTGGTTGTAAGCAAGAAGGCAGGCAGGCAGGGACTGGCTGAGGGCAGAATGAGGTTGGTGGGGAAGTGTACCATTTGCCCTAAGCAACCAGCCTCCACTGGCTGCAGGGTGTCCAAAGGCAATTGGAGTAGCATAGGATTTGCCCATGTTACTATGCCCATTCCCTCTCTAACCCATCCAGATGTGCCGCATAATGAGTTTACAATCTGTCGTCGTGTCAACTCTGGGGATCAGGGTTCATTGCCAGTCTGATGGCATCCTTGGGTCCGAGCATGATCACTAATAGTGTGGAATAGTACTACTGTACTGGGGCAGCCTTCTGTTGCCCCGCATGTGAACTCCGTCACAATCCTGTTTGTTCTTTCATCTGGGTTTATATTGCATATTGGCAGTGAGATTTGCAGAATGGTATAACTTTATTTTGCAAGCTGTTCTGAGGATGTATTTCAGTGGAGGGGGAAAACAACACATCTGTACTGCACAAAATAATAAAAATAATGGGTAGTTCCATTGCAGTCGCAGTCTGGGTGTGGATAGCTTTGCCGTGCAGGCCTCCAGTCCTTCTAATAAATACATTAAAGGTGTCCCCCATTAAGCATCTATCACCCTCCTGATTGTTTGTTTTCTTCTTTCCTTCCATATCACCATGAGTCATGCTGTGTGCTTTTTTAAAAAATAATAGTAATAGCAGGTCACAAGAAAGTTGTCCAAATTTGTCACGTTGTGCCACAGCTAGCGATTTACTGGCTAGCTGTTGTGCAGCAAACGTTCTCTGTCTCTCTATAGAGGTCACTCTGCTTTAAAAAAGAAAGAAAAAGAAATCCGGCAAACGAGAAAACAAAGGCCACTTGGGTTTGATACGTTCAGAGCAAATAGTTATCATCTGATTGAAGAACAATGGCTCCTTAGAATGCTCAAACAGTGTTTGTTATTGTTTGGGAGCATGTGCTCTGCGGTCATCATATGATAAAACATACTGATACGGAAAAGGAGTGTGTAGCAGACACCCTCGGATCAGCTGTTCCTATAAAATTTTGGCAAGCTGCAGGAGGAAGCTATCAGGCGGGCTGCAATATGCCAATGCTGTTTGAACCACATTAGTCACTTGCTTTATTGTCTGGGCTGTTATCAAAGGAGTTTATTGCTTCTTCCTTCTTCCTTCTTGGATTCACAAAATTCCAAAGCGTTCTTTTGCTTGGGAGAATGTGAAATTGTGGGGCATAGTGCATTGTACAAATGATAGGCGTTTGCTGCTGAAACATTAGTGAATGGTACAGAGGGACAGATTCCACTCTGGGTCTGAAAGCTTCCATCTGCAATGGAATGATTTCTTGCACAAACTTGCAGCCTCCACCAGCAGTATTCAATGACTGAATGTGCTTCAATGGATCAGGCTGTAGGCACAGGAATAATAAGAAACATGCAGTGGTATCCAGATTTGAGCATGCTAATGTCTATGTTTGCATGTATCACCTTGAGAAAATGTCTTATTATTGCAGCCTGAAAAGAAAACACTTATATTTGATATACAGTGGTACCTTGGTTTATGAACTTAATCCGTTCCGGAAGTCTGTTCTTAAACCAAAGTGTTCTTAAACCAAGGCATGCTTTCCCATAGCAGCGGGGGACTCAATTTACAAATGGAACACACTCAACAGGAAGCAGAATGTGCCACCCTGCCCTGCTGCCCTGCCACCCCGCCAAAACTTCCCTTACCTGCATTGTGCAGCAGTACTCGTGAAGTGGCAGCAGTGATGGCGAGTTCCAGTGATATCTCGCAGAGCTCTTGCAAGATCTTCATGGAGAGCACAAGATCTCAGCGGAAACTGTCTGGGCTGCTGGCACCCCTTCTCCACTGGTGGTGATGGGGACAATGCCTTGTGGGCTTTTTCTGCCTGAGGTGGCTGTCTCAGCTTGTTCCATGTGTGGGCCAGCCCTGAGCTCAGATAGACCTTGTTGCTCAGGCAAGACTCCAATGAGATGGGAAGTCTTCTTATGCTCCTCCCTACACAGGAGGAGCCAATGGTCACTCTGGACACATGGAGTTGGACCAAAACCAGAACAATATTTGTGGAGAGGCTGAAGACATGCAGTTCATTGCATGGGGCAGTGGTGAGCAGTTCTGGATGAGGACAACATAATATGCCATGGCTAAACAGGGGTCAGATGCTTCCAATCTTCTTGTAACCACATCAGAAATACAGAGAAGAGGGAGGGGAGGAGGACTTTGCAAGCCCGGGGCTTGTTTGTCTTTGCTTACTGTATGTAACACTAAACAGCACTTCCATGCTACATTCAAACTGGGTCAACATATCACAGGACCTTTGCTGGAAGCTTTCCACCACCATCAAAGTTACATTCCTGTTGCTGAACCTAAGTTTCATTACTGGGCCCATGGCGCAGCTGATTGATCTCGTCTATGAATTAAGCAAACCCTGAGTTGGACTCACTGGGGGCTGCAGTTCAGTACAGAGCGTTAAACCTGGCAACCATGTATAACCCCCTAGGGTGTTTAATGTGAAATTAAGGTTTTACTCTCAGAAATGGGAACAGTGGACTCTGGCAAGCAAGCATTGAACGAATGGTCACTACGGGACAATCAAACTGTGCATATTTTATCACCCAATACTCCACAGATTTCACGCCTTCTCTCAAAACTGGTTATCTTCTCGTTATTTGAAACTTAAACATCACACACAATTTATATAACCTTATTCATTTAAACTGATTTATACCCACGGCAAGTTAAGCTGGAAGAAAAGGGAGAAAAGTGGTATTGATTAACCTGTCATATGGCATACGCTATGATGCTAGCTACCTCAGGAATGCTTCAATGGTTTCGTTAGAAACTGCCGGTGGGATAGGATGAAATTTTCTTGACAGCGCTGGATGTCCAGTCTATCAGCAAGGGCTCTTTCTGTGTCATATATGGCTACCACAGCCTCTGGAGATCAACTGAGCAGCATACAGAATAATAACAACATCACAGTATGTGTGAGGAGTGAATAAATTAGCACCATATTTCAGCGTTGGCTTCAGGGTCTTATCATTAACAAAACAGTTGCACTGCTTACTCCTCTGTGTGTCTCATTAAAATGCTTGTGTAATAAAAAACGCTTTTACAACTTGCTCCATGATAAATGTTGTCATGGTCATGTATCAAAAGTGGTTCCCCAGTATTTTGGATATCACGTCTCTTTTGTAGGAAAGAGCAACTGGAAACTATCAAAGAACCAAGAGAGGATCACTCCCAAGTAGTATTTTTAGAAAACTGTATTTGAAGGAATACGATTGTAGATTGTTACTTCAAATTAATTGCTTGCTATCTGCAAATCTGTGCTGCCACCATCTAAAAATTATTATTATTTATTAATTTTCCAAATTATTACAAATCGAGCCAAATTACTTTAATTTAATGCAATTTCTTAAAATCATATATTCATGTCAGGGACTTGGCTGAATTGAATGCCTGGGAAGAGTCTGGAGATGAAGGATTGCCAGTAGAAAGGGAGCCAGAATCTGATTTCTAACCCCTGGATCCAGCAAGTGCTAAAAGATAAGCCAGACTACCTTCCTGTGTTGAGGTGATAGCCTGGGTGATGGGCCACTAAGAAACAAAGGAAAGGGGCTCTGTGTGAGACAGCAAATGGATTAAGTTCATGGTTGGTTAGAAGGACAAAGTCAGAGTTGGAAGCTGAGAGTGCAGTGATGTGACCTAGAAGTAAAGCAGCAAGTCAGAGCTAATTTTGAGAGCAATGTTTGATTTCTGTTTGAATCAAAGGCTGTGGTTGTGAGAGAAGCAAGACCTTTTTTGGGGTATTGATGTTGTGAACCCGTCCATCGTAGGCTCAGGTTGCATATATGTGTAAACCAAATATCTTAAAGACACTGCAGTCTCCACTGTTCCTCATTCCCAAAGAAAGCATGAACCCTGGGTAAGCATCCGGAATCGCACACCGCTTGGAGATTGTGGCAGGTGTGGTGTTCTGAGCTTACCTTGTTGTTGCAAGGTGGCCAAGGGTGGTACCGTATTTTTTGCCCTATAGGACGCACTTTTCCCCCTCCAAAAATGAAGGGGAAATGTGTGTGCATCCTATGGGGCAAATGCAGGCTTTCGCGGAAGCCTGGAGAGCGAGAGGGGTCGGTGCACACCAACCACTCTCGCTCTCCAGGCTTCAGGAAGCTCTGTGCAACCCTTGGGAGACTGGCGCGACTTCGCGCCGGTCTCCTGAGGGCTGCGCAGAGCTACCTGCACTCCTGGGCTCTGCGCAGAGCTGACTGCAGTCCCGAGGGCTGCACAGAGCTGCCTGCAGTCCCGGGCTCTGCGTAGCTCTGCGCAGCCCTCGGGAGCCCGGTGCGAAGTCGCGGCGGGCTCCCGAGGGCTGTGCAGAGCTGCCTGCATTCCGAAGCCTGTGGCGCGCTGAAGAGCGCGCCCGGGCTTCGCGCAGCTCTCTGCAAGCCTGGGGAGACTGGCACGACTTCCCTAGGCTTGCGGATAGCAGGCTGTCCTCGGGGCTGGGTTCGGGGGAAGCTCGGGCTTCCCCCCGTCAGCCCCGTGCCGGGGGGGAAAAATAATTTTTCCCCTTTATTTCCCCCCCCCCAAAAAAAACCTAGGTGCGTCCTATGGGGCGGTGCGTCCTATGGGGCGGTGCGCCCTATGGGGCGAAAAATACGGTATATGTGTATATCTTTTCTGTTACAATTTGTCCAGCGGTCTGTAGCCTCTCTAGCTGCTCATCCTTTCTGTGGCCATGAGAGGAGCTGCATCTTGATGTCTTCCTCTGGATTTCCTCTGAAGTATGGGTTCCAGGAAGGCAGCAGAGTGCAGACCATTGGCAACATGGTGCATAGGATTAAAAAAGGGACACCCCTTGGCCACATTAAAAATGCAGCAAATGCAAATAAAATTAAATAAAACGATGCACCCCACTCAACAAAATTCTGCTTACTAACTGATGGAGAATGGTCTAAAAGGAAGATGGGAGAAATTGTTGGCACAGCAGTAATATAAATGTGCCAAGACTGATTCTCCCAGTTCAATGTAGGAGCTTGCATTCTCTCACTTTCCCCCTACCTCTTTTAGCCATATAAGCTCTGTGTGCATGCATGAGCCCAGAAAGACCATACATTTTCTCAAAGGCTGTATGGTATAATAGAACATGATTTCAGAAGGAAATAAGCACCATTCATTTACTTCTAGCAGTCAAAAGTGAGACATTTAAGAAAAATCCTTTGAGTGCTCAATGCAAACGGTTCACAGTGTGAGTTCTTATCATCTCAGAGTCATATTTCTAGGATGAGAATTTGATCTCCTGCCTATTACCCTAGGAGTCCCCCAAGACCTGTACTTGGCCCTCATTGCTTTGAATTGCATTTTTGTACACTATGCTTGTAAAGTCTCATTCTATACATTAATGACTCGATTGATGTTTGCTCAGAGGGTGCAGATTTAATGTGCACTGATGAAACAAGTGTTATTCTGTTCTTTCCATTCTCTCACTAATTGGTATAGAACAATGTTTTTTTCCTTCTTCTTTCATTTCAAATACTCTGCATGCCTGGACTTCTGGGGTGGCGCCATCAGTAATGGCGGATTCCCTCTGAACTGGAGGGACCAGCTCCACGGGAATCGGGTCTTTTCCGCTACGGCGAAGCGGGGACCCATTCAAAAATCACAGGCGGATGAAGCCTGTGACCATGGGACTCGGCGGGCACCCTTAGCGCCCCCCCAACCCGCAAAAGAACCCATTAATGGGCTCCGGAGCGAAGAGGGGGAAGTGGCGCGGTGCTGAGAGTCAACTGCTTCTTCCGTGGAGCGAAGCCGCACAGCCATTGCCGAAGAGCGCTGCCTTTTTCCTGGGACAATCTGGCTTCTAAAATAATCACCCGTGAGTACCTAAACTCGGACAATTGGACTCTAAATAAGGACTTGTGAGCAGAAAGGAAAATTGGACTTAAAAGTTTACCTTAATTTGGCGCTGAAACGGGAAGGTCTAAACAGGAAGTCAGCCTTCCGTTTCTTTGTAGATAGATTAAAGCAAAGACATGGCAAACTAGAGCTCAGAAAATCGCCTGTAAAAGATTAACTTCCATCATTTAAAATTGTTGAACCCCCCTTCGGAAGCAGGAGAAGAGGGGGGATTTTTTCGGACTGTTTAAACCTGCAGAAGTGAGGGTAAAGTAAAGTAACTTTCCACCGTCCTGATCCTGGAGCGGGGTGTTAGGACTCATTGACCAGAGACAACGTTTTTGACAGATAGCTATAAGAAGAGAAACTTTGACTCCATTGTTCCCCTTCGCTTCTTAAAGGAACAAATATTGACAAAATATCTGAAAAAGGAAACTTTGTCGCTAGACTTGTCTTTAAAAGAAAGAACAAATAGAAGTTTTCCCCCTAGAGGGAGACTGTGAAACTGTAACCAACTCCCTGGCAGCTGTTACAGATTACAATCGTGGGAATAGACATCTGACCTTGCAGGACAATGTATTCAGAAGCTCTGTTGTGTGCTTTCTATAAAACAAATGCCCTATTGGAACAGTTACATGAGAAGACGAATTTGATGGCTGATTCGATTAGAAATTTTGAACAGGCAGTGGGAAAATATGTGGAGCCCACCCAGGAATTAAATCAGGAGTGTGCCTTGACAGAACAGGCCCAACAGGAACATGAGCTTTGGATTTGACAAATGAACTTGGAAAAAGCCAGATTTGGAAAGAAAAAGTTTGGTTTGGTTTGGAAATGGGGGCTGGATAGACCCCTATGCAGGGATGTTTGGACTTTCCAAGTCTGGCAATGGGCCGTGAGATGTCTGGGATTGTGGGGGCTCTTAATTTTGGAGGGATTCTGAAACACGTTTTTAAATACCACATGGAGTTTAGTTTGGACTATGGAAAAGGGGCTGATCTGTTGAAAAGGGTCAAAAACATTGTTAAGCTGGAGTTCCCACGAGTGA